TTTTAAAAATGTATAATTGATACTGTGTAATAGGAAGAAAAGGTCTAAAGGAATAGGGGAAGGGGGAGGGGGAGGGGAAAAGAAAGAAGGGAAAAGAAAAAATATGAGAAAAGGAAAAAAATAGTAACAAAGTCTTTGTAAATAGGGAAGGGTGGAGGGGGTGAAGGGAGGGCAGGGGAAGGGAAAAAAAATAAGAACCAAGTTAGTCATGTAAAGGTACAAGATCCCAATGATGAATGTAGCTGTATTTTATACCTAAAATATACCATTAAACAATGGAAAAAAATAAATCTAGCATTTATAGCTCCATGTTTTTAAGTGAAATGCAAAGACTCTTCCCTTCTAATGCTAAGTAGATGCATTCTTGTAGAACACATTCTGACTGCAGAAACCTTGTGTCCCGGCCCTGTAACTGGGGCTGGGAATTCAGTAAATGTTTATATGTGAATTCATCACCTTTAGATTGCCTATGAAGAGAGCAAAGTAGTACACAGGAGATTTTTACTCACTTCATTTAGTACAGTATCTTTCCTTTTTTACACCTGTGTGATATTTTATTGTCTCTGGAGAGCAAAAGTAGTCTGAAGCTCAAGGGGAAGTTCTTGAGGACCTGAGCGATGAAATGAACAGAAATGAAGGCCTAAATTCTATTTCCACCCATTTGACTTGTTCTTCAGCATTAGCCAGATTTTTTTTTCCAGTACCTCCTCCACAAAATGGGTCAAGTTAGTTAAGGAAGGTTAGGAGTTTTGAGGACAAGTGAACAGATGAATATAAAGAACTGTACTTTAAACCTGGCATGGTGGTGCACGCCTATAATCCTAGCTACTTGGAAGCCACAGCCAAGTAGATCACAAGTTTGTGGCCAGCCTGGGCAATTTAGTGAGAACTTGTCTCAAAATAAAATAAAAAAAGGGCTTGCATAGCATGCTCCCAGTGCTGAGAAGAAAAGAAAGAATTGTATAGTGTAACAGCTACAAAAACATTATGCACATTTGAGAAAAATATGGTACTATGTTAAAAAAGTTAGAATGGAATTCTTTGATTGAGTGCCCTATAAATACTATTATTGGCTCTCTCCCTCTTGTTACCTTTGCTGCCTTGTGCACGCCATGTTGTTTCTCCTCTGCAAGGCCTGTTTGTCATCCCTGCCTTGGAGCCAGCCGACTATGGACTGAAACCTCTAACTTGTATGGAAGCATCAGTAAACATTTGCCAAGTGAATGAAGGGAAGGAGGAAACTAACTATGTCATGTTGTGGAAAAGGGCCAATGGCATTGGTTATGAAGAGGAAGGTGGCCCAGAAGCTTGCTGCTCAGAATGCTTTGACAGATGCATTCCCGAAAGTGTGCATCTTGGCTCTGGGGTGGAACTCAGGACCTTGTGCTTGTGAGATAGGTGCAGCACAACTGAGCTACATGGCCAGCCTTGCAGTGCTTTCTCTGAGCTTTGCTCATTGTATCCCAGGGCGTTGTGGTTCTTGGAGAATAAAAATTGCCCCTGCCTTCTGATCTGAAGTATCTACTGGTCCCATGGTCTCCATCCTGGGTTCCAACTCCCTTTGAAATTGTGAAGTCATCACAGTGGGGATGTCTATGAAGCCCAAATCTGACACAGAGGAGTGAGTTCTGAAACATGGAACCCTTACTGCGTTCAGAGCAAATGGCAACACTGTGGAAGAAATTGCCTTCAGATGTGCTCTCCTGCCTCCACCCCGCCTGGTCTTGATCTTGCTTGGAAGCAGTGCAGCCAAGGGGAGGAAGACTCACTCTGGGTTTCAGGGTGGAGGAGGAAGAGCTCCAGTTGCCAGGGCTGGACCAGTATTTCTGATAGAGCAGAGCTAAACAGTAAGACAGGCCCTGGCCTTGCCTCCATTTTTTTCTCCACAGAATGTTTTGTTTTGGAAATGTAAGTATATGTGGCTGGGCTCCTGCCCAGTGTATCAAAGTGGTGTGTGGCTGTTTGAACTGTGTGACCTTTCAGGAATGTTCTGTTAAACCCTGCCCTCTCCCAAGAAGGTTCTGTTAAGCTCTGGACCCTGTCAGGAATGTTCTGTAACTCCGTGCCCACCCCCCCCCACCCCCGCTCCGCTTCAATGAGCATGCTCACCTACCCTGTGACTCCCTATATAAGGAGGCTCTCATTTCTGGTAGAGTGCTCAGACTCCTCTACTAAAATGCTTATCGCCACCTCTTCAACTGACCATCGGATTCTCAAGTCTTCAAAGAATGAGAGCTGTGACCCGGAGCTGCCACACTGAGCAATAAAGCTCGGCTGTGCCTCAGAGATGTGTTTCAGAGCTACCACACTGAGTTGTAATATTTGGCTATAGCACAGAGCTGCTCCTCTCTGCTGCAACACTTCTGAGCATCCCAAGACCAAGCCCTAACTTCCATGGGAAGCTCTTCCCCATCCCACCCAATGGCTGGTGCAGGCCCAAGACCACACATTGGCATTGCTATGGAGAAGAGGCCCTGCAAAAAGCCACTGTCTCCTTTTAAGGGAAAGAGAGTCAGGCCTGGGCACTGGTGGGCAGCCCTGAGAAAGGTTTCCTCCGCTATGATGTCATACAGAAAGGGTGGGGTGTGGCAGAATGTGGGTGAGCTCTGTTACCAAGGCACTTGCCACACAGGTGGCTGCCAGAAAGGTTCTAGCACACCTAGGGTCAGCACCCTACTGGCCTAGATCTGTGCAACTGAACCTTGCCCTACATGTTTTCGCTTTGTTTTTGGGCTACATTGTTGGTGCACTGGCAACAGATATGCCTGTCCATCCTGGCTGTCCCACAGCCAGGCTGGACCCCATACCCAGTTCAGCTGAACTCTGAGCCCCTAGCAGCTAATAAGCCCTCTTCCCTTGATTCTGATCTCCCAATCAAATCACTCACTGCCCTTACTCCCCCAGAAGAGCCTGGGGGCTTTGTTTACCCGGATTCCTCGGTGCCCACCAAGATGTTGTCGCCACCTCAGAGGTTTGCTGGACAGCTCTTCCCACAGATGGATAAGGTTGCCGCCCCACATCAAGGTCTGTGTGCCAAGCTACCTTGGCAAGAGAGGCTCCAAAAACTGGTTCTGATGGTAGATGGGGGTCAGAATCAATTTCTAGCTCTGCCTCCTCGCCTCAAAAGGAAGATCCAGACTTCTGGGCTCCATCACATTGCAGACCACCAGGCAGGTGAAGTACCTTTTGTACCTCTGGACAGGCAGCAGTCAAAAGCAGCAAAGTTTCTTTCACACCTGAACAAGGAGGAGGAGCAGGATCAGCATCAGCAACTCCCTGAAGTGGTGGTTGGAACTCCACATCAACTTGAAAAACCTAAGTTTCAGCAGCAGGGGATCCTAGCTCAGTCCTCAGTGTCCCCTGAGCAGTTTGGACCTTTCACTGAGAAGGAAGAGGCTCCAACTCAGCAGCCCAACCCTGCCATGAAGGATAAACCTTCTGCATCCCAGGGCAGGGTCCCAAGTTGGCATGCAGAGCTTCCTGAGGAGCGTTCTGGACACCAGCAGGAGAACTCAGCTCTGTCCCCAAACTTCTCTGCCAGAGGTGCACTTCAATCAGTCCACCACGAGCTCCCAGCTCAGCCTCGGAGACCCTCTGTGAGTGCTACAATGACATTTGTAGCCCAGCTTCTGAGCTACCTGAGGACATGACACCATCTCCAGTCCCCCAGGAGGCTGCAGCCCCACCTTCAGGGCCACCTAAGGAGCTGGAACCTTCTCCAGCTCAGCAGATGACACCACCTCAGCCTGTAGAACTCCCTGAGGTGGGCAAACTCCCCGTGCTGCTGCCAGCCCCATCTCCACCCCCAGAGCCTCCTGAGGAGGTAGAGCTTTCTCTGGCTCAGTCAGTGGACCCATCTCAGCATCCACATGAGCCACCCAGTGAGAGTGTAGCTCCCCCTCCAGCCCAATATGATATTATAGTTTCATTCCCAGTGCAGAACCAAGCTGTGCTGCCACCATTGCCCAGTGTTGCATCTGATTATTTGGACGTGGAAACCACTATCACTCCAGTATGCACTGCAGAGGGTGAACTTCCTACTGGCCTCCAGAGGTCTGCAGCTGTTCATGCAAGGCCCGCCAAGGTGACATTTCCACCACCAAACCTGATTCTGGGCACAGTTGGACCTTTGGACCCAGAGCTTACCAGAACTCCACCGTGGACTGCAGAAGCTAGAGTTTCTCCAGCTATGCAGAAGCCCTCCTCCCAGCCTGCAGACCCAGCTGAGTCTGTCACTCAACCTCCAGTGCCTCCTGAGACGGGAGCTCCAAATCCTCATCAGGAGCCCACTCAACATCGCCCATCACCCCCGGTCACAGGCCCATTTTCCCACATGGATCCCAGCAGCTCTGCCGTGCCCTCCACAGAGGCTGCACACTCTCCGTCCCTGCAGAAATCTACAGCTCCTCCTGTAACATGGACTGGGGTGACGCTGCCACACCCAGACCAGGTTCAGGCTCAGCATCCAATCCTGACTGAAGTCACCACTCAACCATTGGAGGGGAAGCCTTTAACCGTGCTAAGTGCACAGAGCAGCACAACACACAAGGACATATGCGAGCTCTGTTCCTGCCAGGAGGAGACCCTGTCTTGCACTGACCTCGGCCCCACCCGCAGGCTGCACGAGGTGCCTGCCCTTGAGCCCAGTGCCCACAACAGGACCTTCACCATCTTAAATTTCCAAGGAAATTCTATTTCTTCCCTTGATAAGAATGTTTGGAGAACATACCAGTGGGGTGAGAAACTAAATCTCAGTGAAAACTCCCTGACTGAATTACGAAAAGACTCCTTTGCAGGCCTGATGTCCCTGCAGTACTTAGATTTATCCTGAAATAAAATACATTCAATTGAAAGAGGGACATTTGACTCACTACCCTTTTTGCAGTTTGTAAATCTTCACTGCAATTTTGTTTCTCAGATCAGCTACGGAACATTTCATGCATGGCACAGGATGCAGTTTTTACATCAAGTAGTCCTCAACAATAACCCTCTGACAACTATCGAAGATCTATCTTTTTTTAAATTACCAGCATTAAAACACCTAGACTTAGGAGCAACACACGTGCCCCCTGCAGTGCTAGAGAACATCCTCACCATGACTCTGGAGTTGCAAAAACTGATCTTGCCGAGCCACATGGCCTGCTGCCTCTGCCAAATTAAGAGTGATATCTAGGTTGTGTGCCCGACAGTCAAGCTGGACTGTGACAGCACCTGTTTGTCCAACACCATGCAGTGCCTTGAGGCAGCAGCCATGGGGAATGTGGATGGGGCACTCATGAAGGCGCTGCAGGCCCGCAACAACAGCACCAGTGCCCAACTGAGCATCAAGCCTGAGATGTTGTCTTCATAACAAAGTGTGGGCCCCTGATTGGGCATCATGAATGACCAGCTCAAGTTTCATGACCAAAGTGACGTGACTGACACCCTCAGCTACATGGTGCCCTATCTCTCAGAGGGAAACCCAGAGGATGTGCAGTCAGCTCTACTGCTACTCATTGCAAGGCTTTTTCCAAATGCGTTTCATGGAGATAACACAGATTCTTTAAAAAAAGATAAAAAGAAGTCCTCCTTTATCCATGAATCCAACAAAAATAAATTGGAAGAGCTGTATTTGCTCAGAAATTGGTTAAATATAGAAATTCAGAAAAAAATGTAGGAGGTTAAGAAGGAAGAAGACACTGTCAGGTTTATACAGCCCAGCATTTTGGGTCCCACCTTGGAGCCTCAAATATCTAGAACACTGGGAAGGGCTCCAACACAGGAAAACAGCATGAGGGAGGACCTGAGAGGAAGGAGAAGGCTGCACCCAGTGGACAGGGTCCTCAGGGGCCTGAAGGGCACAGGTAGAAGGCTGCTGCAGGACAGGTGGAAGCAGCAGGTCAGGGGCAGGCAGGTCACCTGGTCCCTTGCACAAGTAGCCTTGGGGACCCCAGTGCCATGGAGCTGGAGCAGCATCATGAGGGCCCCCAGGCCCAGGAACCTGGCCAGATACTCCATCCTCACAGAAGGACAGAGGGCAGCTGCCCCTTCCTCCCTGCCAGCTCCCTGGCTGGGCAGGTCCCCCACCTCCACCCCTGCCAGAGCCCAGCCTGTGGTGAGAGGCAGAGCGAAAGACTTCACCCACAGCATATGGTTTCTAAACCACGGGCAGGACAGAGTGCTAAGAATGAAGGCAACTCCACCTGCCTGGCAGTCACAAAAGCGTCGTCTCTTGGCTGAAACTCTCTTCCCTGTGTCCCTCAAAACAGCCCAGGCCAACCTGAGGGCACAGCTCACCAAGGGAAATGCACGCAGTGGCCTGAGCCCAGCAAAGAGGCCTGGGTTCTGGGAACTGAGGAGCCTCATGGACTCGCCTCCAGGAGGCTTCCCGTCAGCACCAGGGGACCTTCGTGTGTCTGCTGCAGACTCTGCCTCGGGCTCGGCCTCGACCCCCACACACACATCACCTCCCCAGTGCTGCCGTCCCTGGGGGTCGGGTTAGAAACGCAGCTGAATCACTTGCTGCAGCCGCTCATCCCTGACGACAACCTGAGAAGGTTCTTCGCCCAGGTCATCAGCATTTTGAAAATGGACTGCGCTGAGGCCCCCCCCCCACCTGTGCCAAGCTCATCTCCAAGTCTCACCGCCTGCTGATGCTTCTGACTGATCAGCGGGAGGCCACGGTGTCCCAGGCCCGGGGGGAGCAACAGCAGCTGTATTCTGACCCCGTGGTCATGGAGGGGACAGAAGCCCATGGCAAGCAGAAGGGACAGCAGACACCTTGGATGTTTAGAGAACATGTTCTTGAAGGCATGTATATATACAAATGCATCATTGGGGCATTAGCAGCCCTGGCTGTGATACGGATAGCTGTCATCATCGTCCTCTGCGTCAGGCAGAGTTACCAGCACAGAAGAGCCAGAGTAGATGATCCAGAGGCCAGGAGGAAGCCCAGCAAAGAGGCCAAGCCTGCAGAATCAGCCAGTGACAGGGAGAATGACAGGGAGAGTGATGAGCTAGTGGAGATCCTCACCGACTGGCCTCATCCTGCACGTGACCAGCAAAGCTTATTTTTCCTTCGTCAACAAAAACTTTCTCATCTCCTGCTAAAAAAAAAAAAAAATACTATTATTGTTTTTATGGATGAGATTTATATCTTTTAGTTAATCTAGGAATTTGGTCCAGTTCAGGTGTGTATGTGAGAGCGTGTGTACGTAATCTTTTATTTTTCTTTCACATCAGGATTATTTATTTTTGTCAGACACAGATAACATCACTTCATGGAACTACTCTAAGTGGCAGTTTAGAGTAATAATTTATACTTAAGGTCTTATAAAGCTAGATTTTTTTAAATGAAGCATATATAATGAAACCTTCCTTTGCTTCATGAAAATTTATCACTTACAATCTGTGTGCTTTTCTGTGTTTGTTATTCTTCAGTTAAATATATGCCAATAAACAAAAGGAAAACATGCTATAGTAGGTAGAGAGTATGAAAATTACCCCCATAATCATTAAAAGTTCCTATTCTGCTCATAATGTATCAGCTTGTTTTAATATAGAAGTAATAGTTCACACTACTATTGAATTGAATGGTGGATAAAAGACCCAAACATTTTATCAAGAAGGTATACAGGCAGCAAATAAGCACATGAAGATTTCCCACACATCATTAATCATTAGAAAAATGTAAATTGAGACTACAATGAGATATCATTACATACTTATTAGAACTTCTAAAATTAAAAATAATGGTAAGCCATATAAGTGAGGTTAGAAAGAAACTGAAAGTGTAGTGGTACATACGTGAATTCCCAACACTCAAGAGGCTAAGGCAGAAGGATTACCACAAGTTCAAAGGCAGCCTCGGCTACATAGTGAGTTCAAGGCTAGGCTGAGCGATATAGCACAACACTGTCTTAGAGAGAGAGAGAGAGAGAGAGAGAGAGAAACTGGATCTGTCATACATTGCTGGTGGGAATATAAAGTGGTGCAGTCACTCTGGAAGCCAATTTGCAAGTTTCTTTAAAAACTAACCATATACTTACACATGACCCAGCAGTCACTCTTCATGGCATTTGCCTCAGAGAAATGAAAACTTGTTTTCACGCAAAAATGTTCATGGAAACTCTGGTTTTAATAGTCAAAAATTGGAAACAAGTCAGATGTCATTCAGTAGATGAACCGTTAAACAAACTGTACGTCCACACCACAGAATTCTTCTCAGCAATGAAAAGGAATGAACTATTGATACTTGCGACAACTTGGATAGATCTAAAGAGAAAACATTGAACAAAAAAAGTCAGTTTCTGTAGGGAACAGGGGAAGGGGATGTTACCAGAACCTCTGCAGTGAGTCCTGGTCTCCTGCGAGCCACGGCAGCACACAGCAAATTACAGGAAAGGTAGAAAACTGAAACTGAGAGGAAGCTGAGCTTTGGGTCTGATCAGTGCTGCTCTGGGCAGCAAAGACGAAAGCCCCCAGCTTACTGCACCTTTTATTCAGTACATCGGGAGAAACAAAGTGTAACAAATGACTTGCAGAGAGTTCAGTACATCCTGCGTAAATAAGATGTAACAATCCAAGATCAAGGAGGAACTGAGTAGATGTTTGTTCCTCCCAGGATGTTCTCAGCTCCCAGGATGTTTCTTGTCCTGGAGAATCACAGACAGCATCACCGGATCATTGAGGTCTCAGTTGTGACCGGAGGCCAAAATGGAGTTATGTCTCGTAATTCCATACCTGGGCTGTAGGCAGGAGAACTAAGCTAACCAAATGATTTTACCCTAAAATTATGTAGCATTGCTCCCGACAAGTGTCCAAGGGCATCATTCTATTTACATACCATTTTTTAGGGTGGACAAAATTATATAGATAGGGATGAGTAGCAGCCAGGAGTGTGATATGAAGGTGGAAGAGGTGTCCGAAGAGAAAAGGGCAGCTCGAGGGATCCTGGATGGTGATGGAACAGTTCTCTCCCTTGATATCGGTACTCATTACACAAATTTATACATGGGACAAATGCATAGAATTTCACACACACACATATAAATGCGTGCATGTGAGACTGGTGAAATGTGAATAAAGTCTGGATTATACCAATTGGGGTTGCACTATAATTGGGGGAAACTGGGTAAAATATGTGGAACTTCTGTGTGCCTAATGTTTCAACTTCCTGTGAATCTATAATTACTTCCATCTATTTAGATTTTCTACTTAGATTCTTTTCTAGAAATTTCCCTCTTCCCCTTCCTTGGGATTGTGAAGAAAGCAGTCGTGTTCAATCTGAACTGTCCCAAATCTGGATGACAGATCATCAGTCCATGCATAGACATCTGTCCCAGCATGGGCCAGGGGAGGTTCTCCCAGGGAACATGCCGCTTGGACTGAGAGAAAGAGTGCATGTGTCTGGACTATCATTTGTAAATTCAAGCATTGCATGGGGCATCTTATTTTCCATTATGTGATTAAGGGAAACAACCAACCTGGCTGACAGAGAGAAGGTGGGATGAATTAAGCAGGTGTACAAAAGAAGGGAGAGTCAGGATAGTCTTTTTTTGTTTTCTTTTCAGTACTGGGGGTTGGACCCAGGGCCTCTGTAATGAGCCACATCCTAGCCTTCTTTCATTTTTTGAGTCAGATTTTGCTAAGTCACTAAATTCCCCAGGCTGGCTTTCAACTTGTGATTGTCCTGCCTCCGCGTCGCAGAGTGCTGGGATTACATGCAAGTGTCACCACGCCAGGCCTGGAGAGTCCTCCTGACCATTCACCTTTCTGGCTCCTTAGGTCCAGTTTAATTTCTGTCTTTGGGTTCTGTGAGATAGTTCTGAACCTTTTAAATAAATTCATCTTCTTCTCTAAGTCAGATCTATTTGGATCTCAATTACTTGTGACCATAAAGAATCCTACTCTGTACATCTAGAAAATTCCCCATATTTATCCTGAGGCTTACACTTAGAATATGGTCTTTGTTTTCTTTTTTACTTTAAGAAGTTGACTTGGGGTGGGGATGTAGCTCAGCAGCACAGTGCCTGCCTGGCAAGCGTGAAGTCCTGAGTTCGATCCCCAGTACCAAAAAAAAAAAGTTGACTTGACAGTATCTATGACAAAGACTGCTGCTCCCCATAGCATAGGTACACAGGATGTACTAAAGGTCATCTAACCTGTCCCTCCTGTTTTTAGATGATAAAATTGCATGTTGAGAGACTTAGCCACATAGCCAGTTGCTTGAAGACCTAAAACCAGCACAGTGTCACCTCCATCACTTGGAGATGGCATAGTAAATCCTACAGTGAGGCATCAGGAGGTGCCAAGGAGGGTTTTATTTGCTTGTTTTCAGTGTACTAGCTAGGTAATTAATGAACTAGAACATGCTTCACAAGGATCTACTGGAGAGATCAAATGAATGAGGAATGCAGAGTAGGGATATAAATAGTTTTAATTAGAAGGTACTTAATACTAAAAAAAAACCTTATTATTAGTCATGGAGATAGTCCATTTGTCACTTAGATATACATAACAATTTCAGAATGGATTACTCAAACATTTTCATTCACATAGTATGTAGACAGAGGAAAAAACTGAAGACTGTACTAAACAGGATGTGACTACAAAGTGACGTAAACTTCCTGAGAAGCAGAGGATTGCTTGGAAACTTCCTGCTTGTCACAGCAGAGAGACAAAGGCTACTAGAACACATTAGTCTTTTTCTCTCAGTCCGGTCTTCTATAGTTATTAAAAATGCTGATTTAGGATTATTCTAAACTAAATTAGCCAAAGCACAAAATTATGTTTACTCTATATTGGGAGAACTTGTAATGTAGGAAAGAAATATCATCTAGGTTTTAAGTAAAAGGAAGTCTGATACACATGTGACTTACTGGAAAGCACATACAGAATAGAAAAAGTATAATTTTTATCTTTTTGAAGCCAAGTGTGGTGACACACCCCTGTAAATTCCAGCTACTCCAGAGGCTGAGGCAGAAGGATCGAGAGTTTGAGGACAGCCTGGGCAATTTAGCAGGAACCAACAAACACTTTCAGTTTCACGTTTCTTATTTGAAGTAGCTGCTCCTATCACTGTTAGTCTATTGGCCACCCAAAGTTGTCGCTGTCTACATTTTGATGAAGGATGTCTGCCAGTGTTGGTTGCATCCAAAATCTATCTGCTGGGCTTTCAGAAGAAAACAGAGTGGCCCTATGTTGTAAGAGGAAGTAACTCTCCCTGTTTTCGTTTACCCTTAGCTGGCAGTACATTTTATCTTCTTAGTAATTCTTTCTACCAGAGAACATTTTAATATTTTATTTTCTAATAGTAGGAACTCAGCTTTATCACCACCTCAGATGAATTTGCTATTGTCCTTCATCTTGATTTGATGGAGCTGCCCTCTCTTATGGAGTAGCCACCCTTCATTCATGTACTTGAGAACCTCAAGACCTTTGGGCTAGAAAGAAAAATGTTTTCTCATTACAGTTGCCAAGACAAAAAAAAAAAAATTTATCAAATGCTGGGCATGCTGTCACGTGCTGGGAATCTCAGCACTTGAGAGGCTGAAACAGGATGATTGTGAGTTCAAGGCCTGGACTACACAGTGAGATCCTATCTCAAAACAAAACAATAAGATCCAGTCAATCAGGAAAAGAATGCTAAAATATAAGAGAAAGGAAAAAGGAAGAAAGATATTTAAAAACAGAAGAAAAAAAGAGAGAAAGGCTTTCTAGATCCTTAGGATTTCTTCTCTGGTAAATAGAGCAGGAAGAGCTTCTCTGCTCCTCATCTCAAGTATATTCTAAAGTCAGAGTACAGCATCATCCACCCCGTAGGACAGGATAGAAGAAAAAGGGATAGGCAGAAAGGAGACAGAGAAACCTCGTTTCTGTCTCCCTCATTACCTGGAAACTCTAGGTCAGACCCCTGCTTGGCCCTTTGCATAGATATGTTAATCTCTCAGGGAGCATCTGTATTACAGGGTTTCTTGCCCTGGATTACCTAGTTTATCTCACCTCCTTAAAGACTGAATACACCAAGATAAGAGTTCAGGGCTCCTTAACTGCCAGCTTTCCCAATATCCAATTCCAGAACCCTCTGGAGGGATGCCTAGAAGTCTTCAAACTCACAGCTGCCTCAGATTCCAGGAGAAGCAGAGCTCTGTGTGCTGAGACCACCCTCACCCCAACACACACACACACACACACACACACACACACTCACTCACTCACTGCCCCTCAAGCCATCAGAGTTCTGGACACCAGAACTGAAGTCAGGACCAGCTGGCGCCTGGCTACCTCAGTGAGCCCTGGGAGCTGGCCTCATGCTCCTGTGCCTGGGCTCATCTGAACCCTGTACTTCACTACCAATCCAACTCTGTTAATAAATCTACGCCATGCTTCCCACTGACACAGCCTGAAATTTTTTCTGCAACAGTAGTTAGCAAACCTACTACCTACTTCTCTTGGGGGACCTCCATGGACCCCTTCTAAAGTATCATGTTCAGTTGGC